CTTTCTATTTGCAGTGCACGTCCAAGATATATATACTGATTGACTAGCTCTAGGGCTGACAGAATGGTGTAGAGCTGAGGTGTCAAACATGTGGCTCAATGTCCTGAACCAGATTCAAATGTAATTGGGATTCAGCAAAATAAATAAAAATACAGTAAGACATAGATAACATTGCATTTTAAAACTAAGTCCATGTGCAACCCTCAGGGATTCTTCCACATGAATTAACAGTCCCCCATTTCTATTTGAGTTTGACACCAAATATTTGCAGAGAACACAAGATTTCACTGTGCCAATTGTTTACTGATACCTATATATTTTTAAAAGGCATGTGATTTGGTAAAGCAAAATGTCACCCTAAAAGCTTTCATCTAAACAAGATATCTTTCATGTTAGTGTCAAAATCATACATATCTTTGAAAGATGCAATAAGAGTTGCATCAAGTTCCTTTGATTATTAACATCAAGCAAGGCATAAAAAATGGAGCTGTATGCTCACCAAGGATATTTGTCACTGTCACTGGAGGAATTCACACTAACGTTCGATGATCAAATGTCAGCTATGTTTTAATGGGGATCCTTTGGGGGAGGGCGGTGTCTGCATCAGACTAGATATCTGCTGAAGTCCTTCCCAACTCTGAAATGATGTGATTATATGATGTTCAACAGAGAGTCTAAATGGAAGGGAGATTCCTTAAAGATGGTGAAGCCCTGCAGATACGCCTGTTTGAGAAGATATGCCAATCACACTAATCCCTAGAATAATGCAGGACCTCCTATTCAAAAGTTTGTTTCAAATATTCATCCAGGAAAACCCAAATGAACGAAGAATGTATCTTTGTCTAGACCAGGATAAGCAATGTCAATGACAACCTACTTTCTAAAATTGATAAAATTTGGATGGAGAAGTTCTACATACACATTGAGGGTATCCTTGAAGAAAATATGAGAGGAAAAGCAGGTTTTTGTGAGTGCATTTTAACAGCAGACTTCATCATTACAGCCACACAAGTGAATCAAAGGTGCAAAGAATAGAAGCACCCATTGTGTTTATTGTATATTGACTTTTTTTTTTAAAAAAAAAAGAGCATTTGACTCAATTGAGTAAAATGCATCTTTAAAGGCTGTCCTCTAAAAATGAGTCTTCTCTGTGTATGTGAAGCTAATGTAATATATCTTGATCAGAGAAACTAGAAGTATCTCTAGTTCAATGACCCTCACGTTTTTCATGTCAAGTAATGTTTAAAACAGGAAGACATATGCTCAGCAAGAGTTTTGCTACTGCCCAGGATGCCCCAGGCAGATTCTAAATGGGAGAAAGATCCCCTACAGATTGTGAAGTCCTCTATACATTCCTGTTTTCATGCAATATTGCATGGACTGCCTTAAGTCTCAGAACATTATACAGCCTTCTCAATGACAGCCATGATTATCCAAGAGAAAAGCCTAACAATCAGCCTCAAACAAATTGGGGAAAACAAATTGATAAAGAATGCATGTTAGCCAAACCATGGCATCCAGCTGGATAGCCAATCAACTGAGTTAGTGTGTCAGTACATTCATGTAGGACAGGCACTGCAAATACATAATGAAGTGAAACCAGAATTGAATAGCAAAAAGGGAGCATTTGGGATTGTATTTTGGGAAACTGCCTGGTGTTTTTAATGACCCATTCTACTCCCTAACATGCATATTCTTTAACACCAGTGTTCTCCTGAGGTGACGGTGTAGGGTTGTGAATCTTGGAACACCATAATTTCTAAAGAATTCTAATTGTGGGAATCCATAAGGGCGATGGAGAGACACAGGAAGGCAAAAGTAGACTGCAACATACAGGAAGTCATATAAGGGATATGAGCCAGGAAATATATGACTTGTTACAAGAGGACTTCTTTGGGGGGGGGGGAGAGGAAGAGGGGAAGAAAGAGGAGTTCAGTGGTTCGTAACATAGAGGGGAAAAAACAGCATCAGAAAAAAAGAAGCGCAAAGAAGAAAAAAAATGGCAAAAGAGACCCAAACTAGCAGAGCAATTTTGGTACTATCTTGTTCAATTTAGCATCTATTTGAGTTGTAAAGGAGAAAAAAATACCATATGTAAAAGAAACTCACAGTTTCTTATACGATACTCTGTCTTATTTGAAATGTTTCTGTTTGTTGATTATTAAGTTCATAATGAGGATTTTTTTTAAAGAAAGTGCTATAGTCATATAGTTATAACAAGGGCTAACTGATGCCTGGCCTGAGTATTGCACTAGTACCCATGGAATATTTTAAAAAACAAACAAACAAACAAAAAACCTAGAGAAAGACCTCCAGTAGACTGGCTAGATCCACAGTGGGCGATCTATGGGTCAACATCAGTAGGAATCACATGAGATGAGAAGGCATGGATCTGTGGTGAGCTTCATTGATGGAAATGATAGCCTCATTGATGAGATTACAGATTCACTGAAATGAACAGAACTAAGAGATCAATTAGAAGTGATATTTCTAAGGTCTCCTGCCTGCCCAGCAGGACGATCAATGCCTGTTGAATTGCTCTCTCTGTCAGGTCACTGCCATGGACTATCATTTCTACAAAGCTCCTCAGTTCATTAGCCTACATTCTCAAAGGGCCACAGTTATTATGGAATCATAGTATTCACAAGTCCTCAGCTGTGCATATTCTATGACTATACCAGGCCAAGAAAGAGAAATAAACAGCCCACCAACATATTTTATCTTTGTTTCCTGAAGGTAAAAGAGTATATGAATGCTTATTTGCAAAGTTTTATTTAAACAAACTCCACATGTCTGCAACAGAGAACAATTAGTCAAATTAATGATTCTATTTACACTTCTATTCCCAAAGCTATTTAGAGTAAGAGACTGTGACTTGATTATGGCCCTTCATAAGTAACAAGGTGTTCAAACTTCATTTTTAGTGATTCACATGAGTGACCCAGACTCAGCAAACGTGTTCATGTACTCCTAAATCAAAACAGAAAATTTCACTTAGATGATTTGCCTTGAAAACAAAATCTAAAGAAGCACAAACCATCAGTTTTCTAATTGTTCATCCCTTTTGTGAATATTAGCTACCATTCAATCTTTAGCTGTTATCCTGTCAAGAAAGAAATTACATTCTTTCCAATCAAGTCATTGAAACCATGTGCTATGATTTAAGTGGCAAGGGCTTCTATGAAAACTTTTAATAGGGTAATTAAGGAGTGGGAACCAATTTTTAGGGGGAAATTGTGAGATTACTTTTATCTGGTGTGAAGGTCTTAGATTATTTATAATAATACCCAGGAAAATATGGACACCATTATTCTTCATGCAAAGTCCCATAGTGTCATACGGAAGTACCCCAGAGGAAGAATAAGTACAGTCCTATAACATTCACCGAGCGTAAGGCACCATAAGCTAGATAGCCTCAGACATTCCAGTTGACTGAATCACCTCTTCAAAAACTTCATTTGGCCAAAGAAGTAAATTATTCTGGTGATATATGTCACTATCAAAGCCATCTCTGTAGACTGCAGTTGGACCACCTTAAATATCCTCCCATGACATTGAAGGAAGTAGTAAAAAGAAATGCTTACCAATAGGAGTAATAACTCCTCTAGATGTGCACCACCCAGAAAACCAAAAGATAATATCCATGTATAGTAAACAGATATGATACCTGTGAAAAACCGAAACTGCCTACCTAGCCACTGTAACAGTTCAACCAAAGTCACCAGATGTGTAGTTAAAATTATTTAAAAAGTAAGTATATGGCATATTCTTGGGGCTCCATTTCTGTCGCTAACAATGGCAAAGCTACTGATCTATTTTTAAACCACAGGCAAAGCTATTCTCTTGTGGAAAGATGTGAGTTTGCCGACTCTGGTGACTGTGGCTGATGCTAGTGGATGAATATACACCAATCTCCTCTGCTCCTCATCCTTCCCTTCATACAAAAATGGGGTGGAGGGGGTCCTGAAAGAAAATGGTGTTCACCTCTTAGTAGGAATGGATTGAGGGCATGAAACATGCAAAAAATGAGATATACAGGAATTTGTTTTACTTGACTATGCATATTTGTTACAGGAATTTCGTTTAACTTTTTTTTCTCTTTGGTCCAATTCTGGGGGTGGGGGAGGGAGAAAATGTGTATATACACACACACACACACACACACACACACACACACATATATATATATATATATTGGTAATTGAAGACAATTAAATTTAAAAGGGAAGGAAGGGAGGGAAAAAGCAAGAGAAAGAGAAGAGAGAAGGGAGGTAAGGAAAGAAGAAAGAGAAAGGAAGGAAGGAAGGAAGGAAGGAAGGGAGGGAAGGAGGGAGGGAGGAAAAGAAAGAATGCTAAAGTATAGAAATGGAGCTTTTGCTGCCAAAATTAGGAAGGACAGTGAGTGACAATGATTCTAGTTTTCATGGAAGGAAGTCCTACGAGCTTTTCTCCCACCCAAAAGGAGATAATCTAACATGAGGCAAAAATTCAATGGTTTAAATATTGAGTCAGATTGAAAGTTCCAAAAGAAACAATCAGAGTTGTGACTTCAGAGCCAGAAGAGACATCAGAAGCCAACTAATTCAACTTCTTCATTCTACAGAGAAGAAAACTGAGGCCTAGCAAGCTGAAATGACTTGCCTAAAGTTACACAGGCAGTAAGTAGTGAGCGTCAAAGTTGGGACTTGAACCTGGATCCTCTTAGTCATATCCAAGATTCTTTTCAATCCTGTGGACCTCCCTTATTCATAAGTAAGGGGCCATTTTTAGGCCCCTTAGGGAGGTTGGTTTTTTTTTTTTTTTGCATTCTCTCTCTCTCTTTTAAGAAAGAAATAAAAATAATTAAAGTTGATCACAGCAGCAGCAACTCTTTAAAATACATCCAGGAGCTCTAAATACAAGAGTAAATATCTCTATTAAAACTCAGTATTTCATATCTGTAAGATCTCAAGAAGACTGAACCAAAATCTACTTTTCAGAAAAGGAGACCAGGTACTTACAAGCGTTCCAATTGCTTCAGATCTTGGAAGGCCCCTCGCTCTATCACACTGACCTGGTTTTCTTCAAGATGCCTAGAACCACAGAAACAGCAACAGTCAGGGCAATGTTGGTCTCTGAATATTACTTGCTCCACATTCATGTTTGTGGAAGGGTCAGTGGCCATGCCCAGGGGTCCCACGTATACTCTCCCCTACTCAATCTTAAATAAGTTTTGGGCTGGTTTTTCTGGGGAGAAGGGAAGTTAATCACTTCCATCCCAGCTCAGCACCACGGTAACCGGGGGTTTAACCGCCCGCACACTTCTACCTGACAGATTGGTTTCCATGCATCTATTTTAAGAATGTTCCCAGCAAATGTCCCCCCAAGCACTGCAGGGTGTTGCAAACAAAAGAAAGAGGGAAAGCTGCTCCTTTCAAAAGCCACAAAAATAATCAGCATCTCTCTACCTGGTGCTCCTTTCCTCCAAGGAATTTAAAACACTTCACACAAACTATGCTCACCCTAGCCCCTGGGGACACCCTTATTGGAGGACGGTGTTTGTTGGGTACTGACCATAGCTAAGAGAGTCATCCAGTTTCCAGACCCTCCTCTGTCTCCTAGTGCCCAATGCCTCATGGATGTAATTCCACTGTGAGGTGGTGAGAGAGCAAACAAGTCCTTGACTTTGAAATGGACAATATTACCCTTGAAGAGAGAAGCTAGGTCTCTTCAACGACTCAAATCACCAAAACAGACAAATCACTTCTCCCCAGCAATGGTTTATTAAATTCTCTACTTATACAAGTTTGATTCCTTTAGGTTCATTTTAATCTTCCTGAGGGATTAAACCCTTCTATTTCAACTTCAATGTACAAGAAAACATTTGTTTTACTAACTTAAAAAAAAAAAAGGAACATGGCCGCTTAACATGGATTAGACGACCACAGGGAAGGGAACTATGTTGCTGCGTATTCTTCCACATGTGAGTGTTCCAGGGCCAGGTCAAGATGCTTGGCTCTGGTTGAGTCTGAACAGGATTTAGCAGAAAGCCTTTGACCTCTGTTGAGCGGCAACCCAGGGAACCACTTTTTTTTTTTTTTTCCAGAAAGGGGAAGAAGCTGAGACAGGTTGCAGGCTTCTCTGGTTAAGGCAATGGAGAGAATGTCTGAAGGAGATATAAGTAAAACTAGGAAAGCCAAGCCATCATTCTTCCAAGATGTAGAAAACAAAAGAGCGTGTAGAAGACAAAACAACAATTAATATGAAAGGGGGGAATTAATGCTAAAAAATCACAGACTAAACGGAATCATAGAATTTCACAGCTAGAACAGACTAGCTAATCAAAACCCCTCATTTGAAAGAGGAGGAATTTGAGGCTCAGAGAGGGGAAGTCATTTGTCTATGGCCACACAGCAAGTTAGCAGTAAAGCCAGGTGTCCTGACTCCAGTGTCTCCTCTCTTTTCACCACTCTACCCTGCAAGGAATAACAATGATAACAATTAACATTTAAATAGCACTTTATCCAGAGCTTTTACTCACAACAACATAGTGATGTAGGCAGTACAAGTATTTTGACCCCAATTTAAGGGTTGAGGAAATAGTTGTCTGACAGATTATATGACTTGTCCACCAATCACACTGCTAATAGATGCAGGAGTTGGGACTCAGATAAAAATTAACACTGAAAATTCTTATGTCTTTTGGAATCCTGTTATGCAAAGCACAATTTCATTGTACTTGTAAGTTTGTTCATTTGTGATTTTCCCCTAAATTGGTAAAACAAGCCACAAGACTTGGTAGTGGTAATTTCTAACTTTTGCATAAGGGCCAGATTGACAACAGCTGAGCCATCATATTGAGGCTAATTTTCTGGAGGGGCCTCTCACAAACCTCCCATGGAGCACTGCCCAACCCCCACCCCCGCCCCCGCCCCCAACTCTGACCCTACCATTCTGTACCAGTCACTAGAATATTCTTGACTCTTTTTCACAAGAATGAGAAGACCACAACATTATGTAATGGGAAGAGAAGTGAACCAAGTGCGTGACCTTGGGCAAGTCACCAAACTGCTCTCTGAGCATCGGTTCCCTTACCTGTAAAGTGATAGAGTTGAAGGAGATGATGGCTCAATTTCCTTCCACCTCTAAAATTCTGTCATCCATAATTCAAGGTCCCTTCTGGCTCTACCATTCTGCATTCTAAAGTCCCATCCTGCTCTGCTGTTCTACATTCTATGTTCTAAGGTCTCTTCTAGTTCTAACACGTTCTGATCTCATAACATCACATCTAGAAGTCTTTGCTAAAATGTCCATGCTATGACAACCCTGACTTGCCAGTTACCATTCTGAATTCTATCTTCATAGCAAATACATTTGGAGGCACCAGGCTGAGGAAAGCATACAAGGACCCAGGAGGCACTGGACACCAGGACAATTAGCTTGTCGTGCCCTGGTTCTGCTCCGAATTAGGGCAACACAGATTTTACTCATTTTCTGCTTTTTTAGCATTGTTGTTTTTTAGTTTTAACACTGAATTAGACTCGGAAATTACCCACATGTGATGATGGCTAGAGAGGATTTTAACTCTTTATTGACCCCATTTGGGATAAAGCTGGTTCCCACATTTTAAACATAGCAGAACCCTTGCGACATATTATTCAGAAAGGGAGGCTAATTGATACCACCAGAAGAATCTTTCTCCCAGTTCCTTCCCCTCCTCCAACCTCTCAAGAAAATGAGCCGTTATTGGGTAATCCATAAGGCTTTTCCATGAATGGATTTCATTTTGCAGAAAATTATAAGGGGGATGAGGTTGAAGTTCCCCAAACCATTCCATCTGATCCTGCCCCTTCACCTGCACAACATTAACAGCCCTATGTGGCAAATGGGGTGGTAAGTTAAAATTATTCAGGAGTATTGATTTTTTTTTTTTTGGCTTCACTACAAACTGTAAATAAGAAGCAGATATGGGGAATGTGTTGGGGTGTGATGAAAGCTTTTCAAAGAGAGTAGTTGTCTAGGTTACTCAAGCTAGAAAGAATACATTGAGGAAAAATATGGCCAAAATATCTGGGTATTTTACTAGTGTATGTTAGGAAGTATTTCAGTCACCTTATGTAGCAGTCTTTCAGTGTAAAAGGGGGGCACTCGAATTGGATTGTCTCAGAGTAGATAAGACAGATAATAAAACACAGCGTATTCACACAGTCTATGAACAGGCAGGGACATTTTTGGCACGGCTTATCAAACAGGAAGAATGTACCAATTAACTCAGGAGATAAACTGCTGTAAAAGGAATGCTGTAGACCATCCAGAGGATATTAATACAATCTTTTGTGATTATTTTAAACTTTATATTTGCTGAAAGCAGATATGGGAATTGGAATTTTTATTAGGCTTTTAAATGCAATAGGAAGAAAACCAAAACTCTATGCTTTGTTCACACACACACACACACACACACACACACACACACACACACACACACAC